CTGTGTTTTCTTAGCTGTCACTATGCCCACCATGTCTGGCGCGATATGGATTTTAGCCTTGTTCTTTTCATAGATGTCTCTGTATAAACGCTGGGAAATTCAGACAGAAAGGTTAGTTCATAGTACATTAACAAGCTTCCCAGCTAAATATGATCTGTGATAATTTTTTAAGGAGTTGACTACTATGATTAGAATAAACATGAGCAAATGCTTATTGATTTATTTGGAACATTATAGTGCTGTAATTATGCTAAAATAGTTTTACAAAAATAAAGTTATTAAAAATGCCTAGGAATCACTGAAAATCTGATTTAATTACAGCAATATAACACACATAAGCCTCAGCTGACCTAAAATATTTTGGTACTACTGGTATTTGTTAATATTTTGTAACCAAACAGGACAGGTTCAGACTTCAATGGATAGTTAAGACTGCAGAAAAAACAACTGCAACTAGCCTGCCTTCCATAGAAGACCTGTATATTGTGCAGGTCAGAAGGAGGGCTGAGAAAATGTCTACAGACCCCTCACATCCTGGACATAAATTGTTTCAACTTCTTCCCTCAAGACGACGCTATAGGGCATTGCATGCCAAACGACAGTTTTTTTTCCCCTCATGCCATTGCTCTGCTGAACACCTAATTCTCACAGTGCTAATGCCTATGTATAGTTACCCATGTAGTTTGGCTGTAGTATTATCTTACTAGTATTCTTACTATCTTTACTCCCCCTCTTATTGGTATAATTATGATGTTTATTATTATTCTGTTGCTTTGCATGTATACTGAGAATTTCTCCACCAAAGACAAATTCCTTGTGTGTCTAATTCCACTTGGCCAAATAAAGTATTTTATTAATGAAAAGGTATGAATAGCTGTCTGAATTCAACATATAGAAGCCAAGTGTCAACTGCAATGCAAAATGAATTAAATAGTCCTTGTTTCCCCTTGGTGTAACCTGATTAAGTTCAGCTTGTAACATTAGTTCTTAGCAGTGCTAATTAGGTCTAACTAAGATCTGATTGGAAGCCACCAAGAGTTTTTTTAAATAAATAAAAATAATGGTACATTAGTAAGCATTAATATTACTCTATCCCAAACAAATTGATAATAGGGTCAGTATTAAAGGAAAATGAATCCAGAAGGTTTAAAGAGCACCCCTTAGCCACCCCTTAGCCAATACACTTTCTAATTATTTGTTTGTTTTAAGATAGAGAATATTTTTTTCCTTTCCTAGAGAAGAAAGTTAAACTGAAACCCTAGATCAGTTTAACCACTCCAATCATCTGATGAAGTGCATAAAATGTTATGCCTTTTAATAAAGTCTATTAATCGGAAAAGGTGCTATCCAGCTCCTCCTGATTTTGAACTGACAGACTAACCTGGTTGTTCTATACTGAAACATATAGAGGAACAATGCAGTTTAACTGTTTGAATTGTTAGAATGGAGAGAGAGAATTTCTGAGAGAGACAGAATGGAGAGAGAGAATTTCTGAGTTGGCCTATGGCTAGATCTTGAAGTGGTCTACTCTACAGGAATCCATATAGGCACAGTAGCACAAGTAGGTAAGGCATCGTGGGGCTCCACACCCTACGGCCAATTTTTCTCTGTTTGGGGACCCTAAATGGGCCAAACGTCGCCCCGAAGAGGCGGCAAAGATGGAAAGAAGCCCCGCTGACCGTGGAGAGATGGCGGTCAATCCGGTTGGTCAGGGAAAGCCCTCCAGAAACCAACAGAAGAAAGGCTAGCGTCACTCCAGAGTCTAGCCCAAGCTACAAGCAGCCGAAGCCAAAAAGCACTAAGTTAAGCTTGATCATAAACAATGTGTCCGGAACTGTGTAAGAATATTGATTCTCTCTCTTCCACCTGATTGATCTCCTGGGAAAAAAATTCCCAAGAAAACAAAAATCCTCTGAAAGTGAAAGGAGGGGGATTTTTGCTCTACCCTCCCATCGGCCTCCCACCGGCCGATACGCTCCCACAGAGAGGGCCTCCTCAGGGTGCCGTCAGCCAGACAGTGTCGGCTGGCGACCCCCAGGGGGAGAGCCTTCTCTGTCGGAGCACCCACCCTCTGGAACGAGCTGCCCCCAGAGATCCGGGTGATCCCGGATCTCCCCTCCTTCCGCCGCGCCCTTAAGACCTGGTTATTTCAGC